GTGATGCACAACTCGAGGCTCGAACTCGCGACATTTTTGATCGGAGTCTAATGCCCTACGAGGTTGTTGTCATGCCGGCTTACATAAGCGTTCGTCAACGCGTACCAATAAGACGTGAACCTAAATCAACCATCGTGTCTAGAAGTAAAGTAATAATTGTTATTTGCTCAATTGCTCTTCTTCTCTGTGTTGACGGGTTCCTGTACATGTTCGAAGGCCCAGAAAAAAATTGCTTCAGCACTCGATCATTCTACTTCTTCCTTACTCATCCATACATCTGGAACTCTAATACTCGTTTGTGTATGTCAATGCACTTATGAAAAACAGAGCTGCATGAGGCTTTATCCAGCGGTTTCCAAAAGAACGCTGCGTTGAGCACTTGGAAGATGATTCCTTACCTCCGATCGATGTAATCGATCAGTATGCTAGGTTAAATCAGAAGCTCACATTTGATAGGTAGTGAAGCCGATAAAGAGGTTGAAAGTTATACCTAATTATAGTTCTGGCACGAGTCTTCATTGTGTAATTATGGATTAAAGCTCTTATTCCAAAGTCTCTGACTAATTTATGAAAGTACTGAGACGTTTTGACCAAACCATATCAAGGGAGACAGCATAATGATCGTTTGGGACAAGATAATGGTCATTTCGACGGTCTCTTGACACAACCACGTCCTACCACAAGCTTCTGATGTAAGTTGCCGTTTTCAAGGAAATGCCTAGAACTGTCAGTGGCCCTAAAACGCAGCACTTTCAGCAAACCACGTTTTTATGTGGTAAGAAAGGGGGGATCGTTTGTGGCTTTGAGATCGTCTCCCCAAAGTTTCTCCGGGTTCCAAAACAAAGCCAAGTGAGCATTTTCCGTCTGCAGTAGATTTGGGGGGGGGGCATCACTCAACTAGGACAAGCATTTTCCTCGAAGCAAGGTATACTCCAGACACTAAATCTCAATTTAATGTATTATATCTTTCGGAAGGCCACCTAGTGAGTTGAGAGTCCGTAAATTAGGGAGAATTATGGAACCGGGTGCTGAAACAACGTAAGGAACCGATTTTTAAACCTTTCCAGAGCAAATAATCTTCTGTTGCCTTCCGAAATATATTCTGATGTTGCTGTCGCTTGGACTAAGTTGACGGGAAAAAGGGACGAAGGCGTAAGTTGTGCTGTACCACTAGGTGCGATGTGTATCATATCGGAGGTCGTTTATCCATACACAGAGTATTGTTGATAAGCTCTGAATCCACCAACATTCGTTAACCACTCCTCTTGGGCGACATTTACTGGATTTGTTAGTGGGACATTTAGCTGTTTTAGACAAACAATTGACTGAAGTCTAAGTGTTTCTACCAACCGTCTACGCCCTTCCTTTCTTTCGGCCTCCATTGAACATTCGTTAAAGTGCAATCCAAAAAGTGCAGTTGCTAATTAATAAACGAAGGGAATATCTACTACGTTTAAACATGGGCTTTAGATTAGCGAATGCTCTCATCGGGACATTATGCTGTGATGTCCCGAATTCATCCAGTGTGGCCAGTTTCCTTCAAAAACAATCATTGTTTACTATGAGCAGAATGTTAAGGGTATATGTCATCACGAAGACGTTAGGTTCGCATCAATCAGCAATTTAATGCCATAAAAACGTATCCTAGAAGTAAACAGAACACGTCTTTAGGTTGCAGCGGAAGGGCAAACTGACATGTTTAGTCGACTGGGACTGGCCGCCGGTTGTTGACTTCTGTCGTCACAGCCCAGCTAGCCTAAATCGTTATTAGTCATGACAAGGTCACACGAACGACAGGCAGCCAGTCAGGATGGCGAACTCTCTCCAGCCTGATTGGTTAGCTGGACAGATTTCCTATTGGATTAGACAGCGTTAAAAATCCTGCGTAGCCAGGCGGTTGGGCCAATTCTCGCCTGTGCCAAAACAATCTTAGCATGGCCGTCTCTGCTGCTGGTGACGTACTTGGTGGCGAATACGATGTCGTGATATTCCTCAATGACAAGATTCACGACCTCGGTGTCGCTGAGTTAGCCCCTATCGAAAAGGCACTCACTGCCTATCAACATGTAAGTGAAAGCCTTCTGAATGTTTTCACTGCATGAATCGCATGGCTATTGCCGAAGGCTAGGTTGTTCGTCGATAAGCCTGTTTCTATCGGTTAAAACCGTATAGTGCTAGTTTTTCCAGTCTATAATTTGAGATAGAGGTGTATGTGGTACATGTATCACTGTAGGTTTCTTTTTAGTGCTTCGCATTCACCACGATTAACTTTTCTGAACTATGTGTAGGCATTGCAGGTTTTAGCCTGTAGTTTAATTGACGGACGTGCTTCAAAATTTGTCTGCTCGTGACCTGCGGTGAAGCGTGTACCTTAAAGTCAGAATTATCAAGTAGCTCCAGTGTACACTGTCGTGTATTTACTTTTCCCTCGTAGAATAGCGTGCCTGGACGTTTAGATAACAGTGTTTTATTTTTATTTTCAGGTTAATCCCAAGGTGGAGACCACTCTGGACATTCTGCCCTTCCCTGAGCATCCCTGTCAACGACTGGTACGTGGCCGCAAATTTTTGATTTTTACATTTTTTTCTCTGCCTACTGAATGCATTGTAACATCTCACGCCCAAATTAGTCTGGCCTTGTGAACGAATGTTTACTCCTTGAATGCACTGTTTGCTTGAGTCCTTGACATCACCTGACGTCCTAGCGACATTCTATCAAATGTCAGTACTATCCGGGCTGTACCATCTCTTCCCTGCGACTTTGATCTGCGGCGTCTTGACTGAAACGTGTGCTTGCTGCCAGTCGTATTTCTCATGCAACAGTCATTGCTGAATATTTAACAACTCCTTTTTGCCAATTCATTGTAAAGCATAGTAAGAAGAGCTCGACTGATGCTATTCTATAATGAGGCTACCATACCACGTGGGGGCTATATTTTAAAAACTAACTCTCCCCTCTGCTCGCGCATGTTACACCGCGTTATAAGGTTCGGCGGCTCGTCGTAATTTCAGTTAGTTGGATAATGTATAGTAGAACCATATAACTTTTAAAAAGTACGCTTTTTTGCACGATCGTACCTGATAGAAAAGCCTTTCTGCATTGAATCATCTATATCACTTGCAGATACCTAATGGGTTACGTTTTACAGTCCGAAGTCCTAATACGCTTGTTAGATTGGACTAGAGTCCGACGCTCACAATAATGCCTGGCTTCCTTTCTTGGCCGGATTTGGCATTTTCCGCACTTCTACCTCTACAGCACTTGGTCTGACTAACGACTTCGTTTGTTATGTATAGAAACTTTGGCCGTAGTTTGCAAATCCTCCTTTTTTCCACTTTGTATTTTAATGCAGTTACTACATGCGGCAAATCCTCCCCCTTTTATAGATATTCTCTCCAACTGGCACCCTGAACGGTGATACAGATGACAGTCGAAATATCTACGATGCCGCCGGGGCTGGAATTAAAAAGTAAGCCTTGCATAACTTCAGCCAACACTGGTGACTAGCGCATGATACCTTACTGCCCTGGGTGGCGTCTTGCCGCTAGATTTTCACTGCATCACCGTTTTTGGTTTCGTTTCCCACTGACGTAGGAGGAAGTGAGAAATATTGATTTTTTTTGGCTACTACGCGTGGTTTTTGTTTGCTTTTAGAGGCATGCAAAACACCCGTTAAACTCTGCGCAACCAAGTATCCTTCTTCCACTGCCACATGAGACCATTACTTTTTCTGTGGATAATGGGTACTGTAGCAGACTATTTTACTGTATGAAGTTAGGGCACTTCGCAGCGTTCAAGCATTACCTGTTTGATAGCAGACTTTCTAGGACTACTAGTTGGTCTACTGCGTAGGACAAAGTTTCCTGGAGAGGTCTTTTTGAATATCACCTTTCACCACTTCACCATTCTCTAATTTACTGTCTCTTCCAGGGCACTGTCCATTGGCTGCCGGTCTCCCCTTTTGGTCCTCGGGCCTATCTCATCCGCCCCCGCAGATGCCGTTTGGATGGAGGATGAATTTCCGGTGCTAAATGCTGTCCTGGGTGCCCTACATGTGCTGTACATGGTAGGTTACCTTGCAGGGAAACCGTCCGCTTGTGCCAGTATTATTTGAAAAAAAAAATAGGATCTGTTTAAACATGGAAAACTACGGGGACACATTTGTGTACTTTATGTACAGCATTGTCGCAAATCATCTGCCGTGTGCGATGAATCAGACCGAATTTAGAGCAAACACATGCATACGAGGGAAATGCGTTTCTGCCACCGCCATGGTGATATCGATTTACATCTACAGCCAGCTTGGATATGTCTAACAATCGAGCGTAGCGTTTATACTCATCGTTACTTTCACACTCGTTTACTGCCAGTACGAGTTCTCTTCCCAACTTCCTTAGTCTTAACAGTTTCCCCTTGAATCAGCGGTTTGATAAATTTTGTCCGTTTGATCTTTTTAGCCACTGGAACTTCGTGAAATTCACCCCGAGAAGCCCAGCAAATATGACAAGCTTGGCGTGTTCAACGCCAGTCCGAAGGTCCTTTTTATCGCTTCGGCCATTGAAGAGGGCAGAAGGGTGGCCAGAGATATTGGCGGTTCCGACCCCGAACGAATGGCAGCCCCGAAAATCGCCGAGTACCTGAAGAAGGAGTTCCAAAATGTGCCCGAGGTGTCTGTTGACATCCAGGAAGTTGAGGAAAAAGCATATCCTCTGATGGCTGCTGTTAATCGTGCGGCTGCCCGTAAGTTATCTGTCTCAAAAAGCCTTTCTATTTTTTAAGATTGCGAAAATTCCCATCACAGAAATCCGAAGAGTAATTGGCGAGCATACGTATACTTTCAATAAATTCTCATCAGGCCATTACATTACATGTAGTGGCTTGATGAGAATTTATTGAAAGTATGCTCCCCTGGACTAATTTGCTTGTAACTTTGAACATAATTTTAACCTTTTACACTTAACCTCCCACCCCCTCCAATACAAATGTAGTGGCTTGATGAGAATTTATTGAAAGTATACGTATGCTCGCCAATTACTCTTCGGATTACTATTTTTTGCATCTGGGTATGTTAAAGAAACCTCAGGTCCTTTTGCTCCAAGGCCAATTCCCATTTCGTCGTGTTTTCTCCTGAAATGTGAGCCTTTGTATAAAGTTATTCTGTCAAAACCTGAGTAGGTAGCACCAGCTCTTATGTCCTTACGTTTGCTATCACCGCAGATTATGTTATATGAAAGTGTAATGTACAAGTTATCAGTTGTAGTGAAGAAACTGTTTTTAAATTGCTGTTTTGGTCATAGTCGCCTTAAAAGCATGCTCATCATCAGGCTCAGTTCCACTTTGGAGGTACCGAAACTAAGGGGTCAGATGCCTCGACGCGCGACAACCTCAAAACCTGCGCGTGCGCGTCTGTACGCTTGGATAATATGACCTTGAGTGCATTATTTGATTGGTGATAGCAGTTCGTGGGCGTCCGTAATTGGCTTGCCTGCGGTTTGACAGCTCGAGAACCCTGGTCACGTGCCCTGTTGCTTGGCCTGGACGCCAGACGCGGAAGGCGCTACAAATGTCTCCTCTTCATTTGCTGCCGATTTTATATTGCCTTGTGTAAACTTACTGCTCTTTTTTCTATAGGTAATGCCCGACACCGCGGAAAGGTCGCCCACCTGACCTACAAGTCCTCCACCGTGGATACCAGCCTCTTCTTGGTGGGCAAGGGCATCACCTACGACACCGGTGGTAATGACATCAAGGCTGGTGGCGTTATGGCCGGAATGCACCGGGACAAGTGCGGAGCGGCCGCTATTGCTGGCTTCTTTAAAACTATCTCAATCCTTAAACCGCCGGGTCTGCAGGTGTTTGGTTATCTAGCCCTAGTGCGAAACAGCTGCGGCTCAGACGGCTATGTTGCTGACGAACTGATAACTTCGCGATCTGGGTGTCGCGTCCGTGTCGGCAACACAGACGCTGAAGGTCGCATGGTGATGACAGATCTTCTCTGCGAGGCTAAGGAACAGGTAAAATATGCATGCTTCTGCTTTAGTTTTTCATGTCAAGTGATAAGCCTTCTTTAGAAACTGACCAGGGTGACTAGACTGTAGCCTATTTGCCCTTGTTAACTGTCTTTTTTCGTCACCATTTGGCCACCTGTGCAGGTTCTATAGCGGATCTCCAAATCAGAACGTCCTTATTGTATTCTTCAAATGAAATGAACCAGTGAACTTCGTTGCTGCTTGACTTAGGATATTATCTATCGTAAGCAAGAGCAATAAACCAGCAATGGTCATTGCTATTGCCGGCGTGGGCTGTAGAACTGAACTAGAAAGCAAAGCGAAATTGTCCATACCGTGCCTATAATTAGGCGAACGTTACCCTCCTAATGCTATCGGTTGTTGTCTTACTGGAGGGGGGGGCAATTTAATAACTTTGTGGCACTAAAGCTGTCAAAGACGTAAATATGGCGGACAGCTACCTACATCGACACCTTTTTTTTCGCATTTAGGCTGTCAACTCCAAGAACCCTTACCTCTTCACAGTCGCCACTCTCACCGGCCATGTCATCAGGGCGTACAAATTCTACACGGTATGTCTATTTCTTCATCTTTATTCTATCGATCTTGATCATATTTCATCATTCTCTGCGGGGTGGCGCTATTTATTCTGTTCGTTTGGTTTTCATCTGGCAATATACGTGTCGAGATCGTCCAGATTGTGTCCAAACACCCATATTTGTTTTCAGTCATTGGTATTTTAGAACTCTCAGAGAGTTTGTGCTTCTTGTCCATAATAGACTGGAACACCAATCAACCTCCCTCCCTACCAACTTGATCTCCAAGCGCATCTTTTTGGTCAACCAGAGAAAGAATAGAGGAAGCGTCATTATCCCTAATTTGTAGCGATAGTGATATCCTGTTTCAACCGGTCTAGAAATTGCTTTTAACTAAGTAGCATACCGCGCTCGCTGCGACAACATGAAATAGAGAAAGTATTTCAAGCATCTGACTCCTATTCCTTATGTACATTTCTGTCCAGCTAAATTTTGTATTTTTAGGCCCTCATGGACAACGGTCCAGCAAGGAAGTTGGCAGTATCCCAGAAGTTGCAAAGAGCCGGCGAACGAGTTTCCGATATGGCAGAGGTAACGTTGATAAGGGAGGTGTTTGAAACGCCCTACACGCCCTTTTCTTTCCTTTTTTGACTTCTTCTCTTTCTTCTTGCTAACAGATATCAACCGTCCGCCGTGAGGACTTTGAGTTCACTAAAGGGCACACTGAACTCGAGGATGTTCTCCAGTGCAACAATCTACCCAGCAGTGGAACTCCACGTGGTCATCAGTTTCCAGCAGCTTTCATGACAGTCGCCAGCGGCCTAGATAAGGTACACACCATGTCATTTCCTTGTTTACCGTTCTTTCGGGATCACTTAATTGCTCAATGCATATTTGGCAATCTTAGCGTTTCTGGAACCCTTTCATCATCTGACGGTCTTGATGTTTTTGAATTTTAGCATGGTCTTGGTAATGAAAAGCCGCTACCGTATACCCATATTGACGTGGCAGGGAGCGCTGGACTAATCGGTACCACACCCACGGCTGCGCCCATGATGATGCTTACCAGTCATTTCGTCCTTCCCAGACTATGAACAGGAACTATCCCGCACTTGTGCTTGTCAGAGACTTCCTTGATTAGCTTCTGATTAGCCCTTTCTTTTTTTTTATCTATAAACGAACATCATCCGAATGCACTTTGTAACTTTACTCAATCGGAGGCGGGGAAATCGGGCCCTATTTTTCCACCGTCGTGCTTGTTTACCGGACCTATCAGGAAGTGAGACCGTAAACTAGTTATGGCTTCTTATAATTCCATGAAGCCGGATAGTTATTTTCGTAGCTAACATTATTTCTGTACGATGAAACTAGAGGTACTTAGGCGCAAATGTATGTGAAGTTTCGCGTTCCGGATATCTTTCAGTAAAGAAGACTGGGCGAACACCGCAACGAGCGTTTTTTTAAAATGATTCTGAGCTTTCAAACTTGCGGACATGCATCACCGGAGATAGGAACAACAGAAAAAAGTGCACTTATAGGGCGGTACAGTCCCGTCAACGATAAAGGTCAACAGTCTGTAGGTAGCTTAAAAGGTTTTTGTATACTGGCCCTGGATCGATAAATCGATTGAGTGAGTTAATCAGAAGCCTCTTCGACTCGTCTTGCTTCTGGTGTGAGCGATTGTTTTGACAGCTGCGAAGTTTAAACTGTGGGTTGTTTCGTAGGCGTGGGCACCCACTTGCGATAATTTGTTGCTCCGTCGCACAGCTAGCTTATATGTGCGATCCAAGCATGTGTTCAGTTTGGCATGTTTAGTTACAAAGGGAATACATTTTGATACATTCATTAAAAAGTACGCGTGCGCTCGCTGAGTGGTCTCCTAAATCCTTTCATGTGAATTTTTGCAACTCTAAAACAGCCCAAAGATACCGTGGTGTTAAAGGCACTCGGTTCACTAAAGGAATTAATACAAAGATGTCCATTAAATGTCCACCTCCTTTTTGACTATCCACACTAAGCCGTTGTCTTCATGAGGAAGCTGGAAAAATGTCAACCATGCGATCAGCTCAAGAAGTAAAGTCACTAAGTTGACAACATCTTTGCACTCCTCACGCTACAAACCAATATAGACACAGCCTTAAGTGCTGTAAATCAAACACTCCGTCGATCAAACTCACGTCGGAAGTGAAAATGACAGGTTCACTCCCTTTCATAGAAGTCCTAAGCAGAGCACATGAAGGTAGCTTCACAAAGGAAAGCATATCTGGAAAATATACGAAATTGGACACTCGTTCATGGACGTTCACCGACCGCTAACGGAACTCGCTTGTCCCGAACTGCTTTGGGCCTCATTTCTCGGACCCTGACAGCAGCTGTAACAGCTAGTATTATAGGCAGATAATATTGCGGACAAAGACAAGGGGATTGGATTGGCCATTTATTGCTTATTAGCCGTCGTCAGCCAGTCATACCCAGCCCCATTGGTGCACCACCCGAGGGTCAAACTCGGACCTTTTTGATC